TCCTGTGTTAAAAAAGACTACTATCCCCCCCCCACATGCGCCTTCATGTGAGGCAGTGGCTTCTTGTTGTTGTTTGGCCAGTCTAAGGCTATAATTACATGGGTAAATAGTATGGGATTTGCTTCAGATGCAGATGCATTCAATTTTTTTTAAAAAAATTGACACATTATACAAAGGCCAATGTAAATCAGCCCAGCTCCTTTTGCTTCTGAAGTTTTTTCCCTTACCACTGGAGGCTTCAACTATTTTCAAGTTGGAGTAATTCAAATGATGTTTTCTCTGTGGGATCAGTTGTTTCATTCTCCAAAAGGATGGTGCATGACTGTGGGTGGTATTCTGCAGGCGTGCTAAACTTGGCATGATGTTTTGGACAGCAGGAGCACACTGCTCCATAATCATTATCTCTTTTTGTTGTTTACCCTGAAATAAATATATATATATTTTGTTTCAGGGAGACAAGGGAGAAAGATCGCAGTGTGCTCCTGCTGTCCAAAACATCATATATTAGTGGTGTGTCTGTCTCTGTGTTGAAATATTAAATTACTGTTCAATCACCTCTGCATGGCCAAAAAAGAGAGAAAAAGACTTGAAATACCCTACTGGCTTTACAATGAAGCATTAAAGGAGAGTTGGGGATCTGCAGAGGGTCTGATCAAAGGAAGAGTAGCTGTGGGCTGTGGTGCAGATCAAACTGCCTCAGACTGAGGGGCCAATGTGAACACCAGAACAACCTGCAGTCTCCTTGTGATCACCTAGTCGAAACAGAAATGTAAACTAGGCTGTAAATCAAGATGCAGTAAAGCCAAATCACTTTGATTTTCAGCTTTAGAGAGAGTACATATATTTTTAAGACACCCCCACAAGTCTTCTAAAATGTGCAGAACTGGAAAAATCAGTAACTGTTGCCTTGTTGCATGAACTCGTCAAAGTAATAGCACTGGGTGGAGTCTTGCCGTCTTTCTCATCATTCAGCTTGCCATTTTGTGTTTCTAATGTGTGCGTGCGTGTGTGTGTGTGTGCACGCATGTGTGTGTGCGCACTTTACTTCTCAAAGGAAAAAGATACTAGTTTAATATGGAGACATTTGTGCAAATTGCACAAGCTATGCTGGAGGGGGGAAAACCAGTACCTTCATCTTGTAAGCTCTATGAGATCTCTTGCAAGGATGGGGCAATCCTTGATGGGCTGCTTCATGTTGTTGAGATGATTTGTTTCAAGTCAAATCTTGTCATCTGTGAGATAATTTCACAAGCCTAGCTCACAGTGTGCTGGATGGCTTCCCCATTCCATTTTTGCCATATTGGCCAGTGAATACATATGAACAAAGTATTGTGGGCTGCTGTATGCGGAGCTTGCTTTAAATATAGCAAAATATCAATTCAATTTCAGTTCTTTCTTTGTAATCTTAGCTAGCAATTGCAACTGGGAAAGCATGCCTGCATAAAGCTCACTTTTGAAGACCTCAGTGTGCCTCATGAACTTTAATTAAGATTCTTACTACTGCTGAGAGACAGATATGTGTTCAGCTTTTATGTTAATGTTGAGTCTGAGACAACATTTGGAAGACTACGCCAGAGTACCATTAGACCCTACAATAAAAGGCATAATTATGCAGCACACTCATCTCAGCTGTGATAAATGGATCTGCCTTTAATATTTCAGTTAACAGGGCTAGGCAAGCATGAATACATTTCAGTAACAGGGTCCCTAGTAATCAATCATGTTTGATATTTTGATGGGATTTTAATAATGTGCTTGATTTTAAAGAGATTCAGAAAAGTAGTCTTACTAACTGAAACACAATTGTGAGTATTCTGTAACGAATCAGTTGAAACTCCTTGTTAGTTGCACAACATGACTTGCATCAATTCAATTTCCTCCTTTCCCCTACTGTCCTCTAATTAGCAGTGGTTCTTAACCTTGGGTCCCCAGATATTCTTGGACTAAAACTCCCAGAAGTCCTAGCTATGGTGGCCAGGATTTCTCAAAGTTGTAGTCCAAGAACATCTGGGGACCCAGGTTAGGAACCACTGCTCTGACAGTCTGATATTGCCCATGGAACACTGAAGAATACACTTACTTACATATCTTGCACTAGCCCTTATGAAACCAGGCAAGCAGGTTTGATCCGCAACTTACAGGTGAGCAAAAAGGAGTCTCTTGAATAAATCATCCTTTTTTTCTATTCCGCTAAGTGGCCCACAGTTTCTTCATTTACCTCATTTCAGGAAATGTGGAGGCTGGTATTTTGGGCTTCAGGCCTTTTTCTCACTCATCCATTCCACTATTTATATTTAAACCTGAGTTTCTCCACAATAGGTTTCTGGAGAAGAAAGCGGAGTTATATTTACATTGAAGTGCATGTTTTTAAAAAATGCAAATAGCCTCAGCAGGGGAGTGGATCAGTAGTCATGAATGTTCACAAGGTGTGAGAGAAGGAAAAACATTAAGATTTCCTTCTCTGTAGCAGAGAGTGCTGCATAGACACATGGGCAATCTGTCCCACAATTTGTTGTTCTTGTTGTTTATTCATTTAGTCATGCCTGACTCTTCATGACCCCATGGACCAGAGCACGCCAGGCCCTCCTGTCTTCCACTGCCTCCCGGAGTTGGCTCAAATTCATGCTGGTAGCTTTAATGACACTGTCCTGCCTCTGGTCCTCTGTCGTCCGCTTCTCCTCTTGCCCTCACACTTTCCCAACATCAGGGTCTTTTCCAGGGAGTCTTCTCTTCTCATGCGATGACCAAGTATTAGAGCCTCAGCTTCAGGATCTCTCCTTCCAGTGAGCACTCAGGATTGATTCATGGTCCAGCTCTCACTTCCATACATCACTACAGGAAAAACCATAGCTTTGACTATGAGGACTTTTGTCGACAAGGTGATATATCTGCTTTTTAAGATGCTGTCTAGGTTTGTCATAGCTTTCCTCTCAAGAAGGAGGTGTCTTTTAATTTTGTGGCTGCTGTCACCATCTGCAGTGATCATGGAGCCCAGGAAAGAAAAATCTCTCACTGCCTCCATATGTTCCTCTTCTATTTGCCAGGAGGTGATGGGACCAGTGGCCATGATCTTAGTTTTTTTGATGTTGAGCTTCAGACAGTTTTTGCACTCTCCTCTTTCACCCTCATTAAGAGCTTCTTTAATTCCTCCTCACTTTCTGCCATCAGAGTGGTATCATCTGCATAGAGGTTGTTGATATTTCTTCCGGCAATCTTAATTCCAGCTTGGGATTCCTCCAGTCCTGCCTTACGCATGATGTATTCTGCATATAAGTTAAATAAGCAGGGGACAATATACAGCTTTGTTGTACTCCTTTCCCAATTTTGAACCAATCA